AGTGACACCCTTTCTGACCTGTTGATCCAAAGGCATAAGAAGCCCAAAGTGGCCAGGGGGCATTCTCAGCTGCCAGTTCAGTGGAATCCGGGCTGTGTTTCCGGGTGGGAGAGTTCCTTCCTTCGGGACCAGGACCTCCAGGCCTGAGGAACACAGGGTTGCTGGGACAGGAAGCAAAAAGCTGCAGTGGCACCACTCACTATTACTCCCCCCATTTTCATTTCCACTCCAAAGAAACCAGCCGCACTTTCAGGTAACATCCTTAGCACGCTGCCCCAGGGGGGTCATGAGTCTAGACGCCAGGACCCTTCTCAAGGATGCTTTCTTCTGCACTTCAGACTTGCACTCGCCTGCTTGGTTTCAAAAGCACTTGGCTGAAAATCAGACACCGGTATTATATTTGTATTTGTGTGTGTGTGTGTGTGTGTGTGTGTGTGCGTGTGAGTGAATTAAGTGGGGGGTTTATAGTTCAGACTATCAACCTCTGTATTCAACAGCTGAAATCACTAGCATCCCCCTCGCTCCATCCTCCCCACCCCCCACCCCAGTGCCCTGCTTCACCTTCCTCCTCTGCGCTCTCTTCTCCCTCTTGTGGTCCTCCATCCACCCTTTCAAAGAGTCAACCCTCTTGTCCATTGCTTCATCTTGTCTCCCTTGCTCACCTTTCCTTCCCCAGCCCCAAAGTCTATCCCCTTTGGAATGTAGGTCTTTGTCTTGGGTTTTATCCTTACAGCAGTGGTCTCTCAGTTTTTATCCGCTTGTGATTGATTAAAGTCCCCCACTGGAATGTTCTCCAGGTCCACCCATCCTTGTCATGAGGTGCTTCATGACTTGAACGGGGGTGGTGTGGGGTGTGTGTGTGTGTGTGTGTTACATCAGACATCTGTCTTTTAATAGCCCAGGGGAACAATGGCAATGCTACAAGCCTGCAGCTTCCCCAACTGGCAGAATCCAGAAAGGGAGCGTTTCCTGCCACCAAACAAAGGAGGCGCACTATTCTGGGACCTCAATGTTTGTGACTCTCGGCTGCTGATCCTGTGCCCCCTGGGGCATGAGCTGAGATAGACTGGTGGCTTTCGCAGATCCACGCATCATCCGGTGACACGTTCTTCCTCAGGAGAGATAAGACATTGTGGCAAATCAGGGCTGAAGCAGTAGTGAGTATGCTGCTACTTGCTCCCATTCACAGCACAATAAACGAAGAGATGGGGTTTTTCCCAACTGGGGATCCCAGTGACCTTCCCAGTGATCTTCATGGTCACTTGTTCGTGTCACCAAGAACCCACGTGCAGGCTTTCAGGCACCACCTCCTGGCAAAGTTGCCAAGGGTTCCCAAAAGGATCTAGCAGAATCTCCCACCAGAGAAGTCCATACTGAGAATACATAAGAAACGCAATGTTCCTCAGAAAAGCTGGAGTCCGACCCGGAAGCTCTGTGTATCAAAGGGATTCTGCATAGATGCATGAGTACGCAAAGATGTGAATCAACAAATCCAGAGACTCTGGCCTGCCTTTCCTTCCTCTTGTTCTCTCTTCAGTTACCAGCATCATGCTCCTAAGCCAGCCTTTGGACTGAAGGACTCCCTGTGTGCGTTTGGCAGCCCTGGTGGTGTGGACGTTACTTGTTGGTCTGTGACCCTCAAGGTGGGCAGTTTGAAACCACCAGTCACTCCTTGGGAGAAAGACGGGGCTTTCTATTTCTGTAAGGAAACTCACCGGGGCAATTCTATCCTGTCCTATGGGGCCACCGTGAGTCAGTCTCGACTGGATGGCAGTGAGCTGCTATTTGGGTCTGGTGTGCATTTTACAGGGACCTTGTTCCAAAGCAGGAAACCCCCATGTCTCCATGACATCACTACGCCCATCTCTTGCCTCTGGCCCCACGGATTCCATTCCAGAAGTCACTGGTTCCTTCTGGGTGGGGAGTAGCCCTTTCCTGGCCACCCAACCTTCTCGACCCACCCCCTGGAACAGCCCAGGTAAGCCAGGAGAGCAGCTTGGCCTAGGTGGGTAGCAGTGGTTAAGTCAACATCACCTGGTAAGAGGGGACTTTTAAGAATGACTCTCAGGTCGGCTTTACACAACAACAAGCAGGGCGGCAAGGCTCACTAGCATGGGACTGCCATGAAGCAGAAGGAAACATTTGATCACAGATAAGGCATCGTGAACATTTTCAGAGGAGACAATCGGGGCTATAAGACATGCAGAAAAACCACCTCTGAATGTACTAACCCGGCAGAGGCGAATTCCAAGA